CAAAAGAGAACATAGAACTGATCATCACACAACTAGCTCATCAAGAGCTAGTACAGAAGCCTAGGTATATTTCAAATTGTTGGAAACCAGTTATCTCTTCTCTTAAGAGTTTTTCACAGTTCAGATCATTAGACTCTATGGCAGAGATGTATGAGGCAAAGAACCCTACAGGGAAAAAGGTTATTAAGTTATCAGCGGAAAACCCACAAAATGAGTTGGAAAGGAACAGTTTTGATCACTTGAATCGTTACATAAAATCTCTTAATGAGGGTGGTTTGAAAGCATTTCTTCAGTTTACCACAGGTAGTGATGTAATTGCAGTGACAGAAATAACTGTTTCCTTTAATTCACTTGATGGGGCACATCGCAGCCCCATAGCACATACTTGTGGACCTGTTCTGGAAGTACCTACAACTTATCAGTCATATAATGAACTAGCAGAGGAATTTGCACGTTTAATTTCAAACAAGGAAGCATGGGGCTTCACAATAGTTTGAGCCTTTCATTTCCATGATGATCCAGTTATTTGTTTAGAGTCAGCATCTTTGCAGTAATTAATGATGATGCCATAGTTGATATTTCAGGTAATTGTTGACCACTGTTAGTATGAGTTAAAACAATTACAGTGTATGAAAAACATCCAGTTTTACAAACTAAGACAAGAACACTTTCAATTCGTAAACCTTTAAGTCCCAGGAGTGGCCAATATCAAATGTCTCCCAGAATATTTGATACTTGATCAATGGAAAAGGTTATGGGAATAAACAAGATAATAACTACACCATCTTTAAATTAAAAAGTTCTCCATCTCCATTAGAAGAAAATGTATGGAGAACATCAAGAAGTGTTTGTAGGTGGATTCTGGGGCCTAAAGTATTTAAGATTGTTGACATTTTCATAAATCATCATTCCACAGAAAGGGATGTTACATTTGGGAGGAGGTTAGCCAACCCATCTCCCCTGGTCATAACGAATAAAAGCCCCTGTGTTGGTATTGTTTTGGTTCTTATGTAATTGGTGGATATCATAGCTTCAGTATGATCAAAGAAAGAACGCAAATTCCTAAGTTGTTCATTTCTTTAAATCTTGTTGACATTGTACACTTGAAATTTTTGTTTTTGTTCGTAGGAGTACTCACTTGCTGTCAGAAGACAACTTTTAAACATGTACTTGTAACCTGTTGATGGATAATTATATTGCAAGATTTTAATGTTGAGTCTGATGGGTACTTTTTTAGGTTTACTTGCACAGTATTGAAATGGAGAATACAAGGCATAAATCAGTCATGGTGTTACGAGCCTGAATCAAAGTAAACACTTGTGTATGAACCTGCCCCTGCTGATATCGCACAGCCCTTTCTTCTTCATTAAACATCGTCTCT